TATATATATATATATATATATATATATATATATATATACAAGGTTACGTATATAGGGGATTGTATACAATGAGACCATTTACCTTTGATCATAATTACGTACAAGCATCTGATGTAAAATCTCATAGCTTGGGTGTATGAATGCAGTCATCTAATTTCACATTCAATTGTCAAGATTAATTGTGACCACCTTTATACTAAAGATAAATGGTTTCATTATATACGTTTCTGTGTCGCTCATCAAAATTTAGCTCGTACGAGAGCTCAACTATGTACTGCTTTCTGTCTCAAAATGCATTGGGGACCTCAGAGCATATTTCCTTTTCAAGAGTCGTTTTGAAATCACTAATCTCTTGTTGTAACTTAGAAGATGACAATTTTTTTTCAATGGTTTTATATTTTATTTCCTCTTTTAAATAAAAAAGGAATTTCTCTTTAGTAGAGATTTTATTCTTAATATTGTTTACCTCATGAACTCTAGGTTTATCAACGAAGTTAAATTTTACTTCATGTCCTTCAATATTAGCTTCAATTCCTGTATCATCAATTTTTATTTGGTAGAGTATATTTAAAAAATGAGTTCTAAGAATAACTGGCTGGCTTGACCCTTTAACTATAATGAATGAGATTTTAAAACAGACCCCATTATTGCAAACCTCAGCATCAGACAATTTGTAGTTTATCATTATTTTACTACCATCAGCAATATTTAAAACCTGAGTAGTTTTGCCGAAGTATTTCGTAGGGACTAAGCCCTCATTTATACAATTTAAATTAGCTCTTGAGCCAATAAGAGCAGTGGTTTGAAAACTATATTCTTGTTGTACCACTATTTTAACAGTAGTAAACCATCGTTGTGTTACAACCTTATCCAAAATATTAATGTATTTAAGGTCTTAAAATGGAGGCTTTTCTAAGGTGTTACACTGAGACCCTCCTTCCAGAACTTTTGGTAGAGTATCTTCTACTTCGAGTAGTATGAGATTGTAAGGATATTCGTCTATCAAGTCATTAATTCTTCCTCAGTATTGAGATCTTCTTTTCTTTCCCAAGAGTAGTAGCTATTTCTAGGATTTGCACTCTTATTTTAAGAGTTATTAGTTCATTGCGAACTTCATTAAGTTCATGTTTTAATTTGGGAACTAAAGGTTCTTTATTAATTTGAGTTTTATTTTGAATCCTTTTTAGAATATCTTGAAAACTGTATTCCTCTTTTGTTGGTACGAGAGAAGTCTTGGGTGTTGAAGGCCTGGATGGATTTTTGGCCATGTTTATGTATTAGATTAAGGCTTCTTTTTAGCCTCTGGGTCATTAATTTTGTCTATCAATTCAATGATTAAATTTTCTTTTTTTGTAAGAGTATCCAAACTTAGACCATTTATATCCATAATAGCTTTGTAAAAATTACATTGGCAAGAATCGCACAGTCAAAGTACACACAAAGCACACTCTAACTTTCGATGCCTTCTTGGATGGGGAACTCCTACTTTTATAGGCAATATGTATCTGGACTTGAAGGATTTGAAGTCTGTCGGACTTGAAAGGGTAAAGTCCGTCTTTAATAATTGTATTGTCTATAGTAAGATTGCTTATGTCCTTTTGTACAGGGAAAAGGAGCCTTGCATTATTGGTGTCGGTGGCTATAATAATATTATGCATTATTGATGTCGGTGGCTACAATAATATTCTACATTATTAGTGTCGGTGGCTACAATAATATTCTGCATTATTGGTGTCGGTGGCTACAGTAAAAAGGTGCCACTTAGTATCTTGTTGGGACTCGTGTCTTAAGTAGTGTTGGAGTCATATCGCCCCTTCTGTTTCTTTTATTTTATTTTGGGGGAAAACTGATCCCTGCACAATCATCACCGTTTAGAGGACTATAGTCTTCATCTTATTTCTCATCTTTTGTTGATGTGGATATTTTATGACCGTCTTCTTCTAAAGCTAGTAATAGCTTCCTTTTAAGCTCTAATTTTGATAGTGTTGGATGTGTTGCATTATTGCCACATATTCCATTATTTCAATGTTAGGGTTTGGTGAAGAGGATACTAGTTTCATATTAATGTTTTCAGGGTCTAGGATTCATTCTTAT